CAGGGTACATAGCCCCCAAAATATACAATTAGGAACAGACATTGGTTCTTTTTCTAAACGTACAAGTCTCACCAACCAAGCTCTCTAACTCCTCGGTGCTCTAAGCTAAACACAACGCACAAACCAAGTCGACCAACGATTCCTCCTATACCAATTCAAGACTACCTTCCAAACGCGGCAAGAATACAACCATTTTTATTGAATATAACTTCTATGTTAAAAGAAAGATTCATCATCAATTATATACTGTATTCTTAGTTTTCTTAAAGCTAATAATCATTTTATATAGAGATTGGTAGATTATCAAGCAATATCTGAGATTTTTTACTGCAAATGGGTCTGATTTTAATCAATCCGGAATAAGTTTTACATTCCTAATACGAAAAGAATACTAAAACCAGTTTTTTNAACAGAACAAACGCTAGCATTAAGGAGACGAAACCAGATATCACTTACTCCTCCTTTGGCTTTCAATGGCTACATTTTGTTACACTATGCAAGTTCTGATGATGGTTGGGTTGCTTCGGGAGGAATTCGTTTGCTGGTTTGGTTTCTTTTCAAGGGTTCTCCTCTCTGGTAAGTCGCACTGGTTTGTTTTGTAGATACACAACCTCTCTGTCTGCTGCATTTATGAGATGCTGCTCTGATCCTTCTTGATCTGACACCGAAGATGCCTCTGAGTTTGATTCCTCCTCATCTACACATTTGGAGAACCAGTTCGTAAATTTGGTTTTATCACAAAAGAGTTGAAAACGTTCATCATGAAACCCTCTTACCAGAGAATTCAAGGTGTTCGGGAAGAGCACTAACAGCTGTAAGCTGAATGCTTTCTGGTAGAAGACAATTACAGAACGAACCTGAAAACTCGCAAAAATAAACCCATGAGTAATAATAAATATACAGGGCACAATTTGTTTGTAATAGTATAACACAAGGAAAGGTTTAGATATTTTTACCTACTCGGGCCAGGCGATTAATCCATCCTGGAATAGGCTTTCCAGTAAGCTGCACACATACTTCTTCAGTGAAATGGTTACAGTTCTTGGCAATCAAATGGTAAGTGTCGCCATGGTATTTCCTTGAAAGCTTCTCCATGTACGAGCGGAAATCTGAACGGGACATGCTGGTAGTTCCCAATAAAACCGACCGTCTAAAGATGAACCCAGGACAGTTCTTAGGTTCTACCTCATATACCCCACTTGTTGGATACTCGTGAGCTCCATAGCAATATTCCAAACCATGAGCTACATTGAAGGGAGAACAACTGTGTTAAAGAGAGAAATGAATAACAACAATAGCTGCTCCAGGTAAGATCAAGTTGACGAGGATCAGGGGATGGTTTCAATAATTCAGAATACTCGACTTTTCTTGGTCCTACATTTAGCTCTATATCTACAAACAATTCCCTTATCGGAAGAGCTTAGCATTGACGCCAAATCATTAAAGCACGACTTGCCCTAGAACATTAATGACTGCTAAATATTGTTGTTCCTCTTTGAAACCCTAACAAATGATATTCGAAAGCGTACTTAAGTAGACAATGTTCTACGTGTTTTCAGGATATACAAAAGGTTATGTTGTAATGTCAATTAAGTTATCGAAGAGAGCGAAGAATCTTGAGAAGCAAGAGAATAAACATACCCTCAATTCCAGAATGGAAAATGCCGATCCCGAACCAATAGGTATAATTGTTGACAGGAGTTAGATCATACACACTGAGATAAACCGGGGTAAGCTCAGCTTCTCCAGTCTTCTCTTCCCTCTCATCGCTTGAGCTTGAGCTTGAGCTCATAGTAGGCATCCACATTTCAATACACGAACCCAATTCAAAGTGACGATCCAATTATCCCTTTCTTCCTAAAACCTCTGCAACGAGGAGAAAATTGATTGTGATAATTCATGTAACAAGAACATAAAAAGCATAGTTAACAATCAGATGTTCCATAAACCTAGATCAAAATCATTCAAAGCTAACAATCAACTTCTTTGGCGGCTAACAAGAACAGTTCGAAGGATTCGATTCCGCAGTTGCGATTAAACCTAGAATCAAATACCTAAACCTAGAAGAGAAATCTATCAAACGGAGAAATCAAAAGCCTGGGATTTACAGAAAATCTAGCGCATATCGCTCGGATTCCAAATCGGGAAAACCCAGGAACGAGATTGAAATTAGGTTTGTGTGATAATTCTCTGAGATTCAAATACAGAAATCGAGGC